TTTGAGACGGAGTTTCGCTCTTGTTACCCAGGCTGGAGTACAATGGCGAAATCTCGGCTCACCGCAACCTCCGCCTCCTGGGTTCAGGCAATTCTCCTGCCTCAGCCTCCTGAGTAGCTGGGATTACAGGAACGCACCACCATGCCCAGCTAATTTTTTGTATTTTTAGTAGAGACGGGTTTTCACCATTTTGACCAGGATGGTCTCGATCTCTTGACCTCATGATCCACCCGCCTCGGCCTCCCAAAGTGCTGGGATTGCAAGCGTGAGCCACCGCGCCCGGCCCCTGTTGGTTTTTTTTAGACAGGGTCTTGCCCTGTCACCCAGGTTGGAATGCAGTGGTGCGATCACAGCTCACTGCAGCCTCAACTTCCCCAAGTCAAGTGATCCTCCCACCTCACCACCTCAGCCTCCAGAGTAGCTGAGACTACAAGCATGCACCACCATACCTGGCTAATTTTTGTATTTTTTTGTAGAGATAAGGTCTTGTCATGTTGCCAAGGCTGGTCCTGAACTTCTGAGCTCAATGATCCTCCCACCTTGGCTTTCCTAAGTGCTGGGATAACAGGTGTGAGCCACTGCACCTGGCCAGTTTTGCCTGATTTTGGACTTTTTGTAAATGGAAACTTTTGTGAGATCCATCTTGTATGTAAATGTAGATTGTTCATTTTCTTTTTTCTTTTCTTTTTTTTTTTTCTTTTTTCTTTTTTTTTTTTTGAGACGGAGTTTCGCTCTTGTTACCCAGGCTGGAGTGCAATGGCGCGATCTCGGCTCACCGCAACCTCCGCCTCCTGGGGTCAGGCAATTCTCCTGCCTCAGCCTCCTGAATAGCTGGGATTACAGGCATGCGCCACCATGCCCAGCTAATTTTTTGTATTTTTAGTAGAGACGGGGTTTCACCATGTTGACCAGGATGGTCTCGATCTCTCGACCTCGTGATCCACCCGCCTTGGCCTCCCAAAGTGCAGGGATTACAGGCTTGAGCCACCGCGCCCGGCCCAAACCAAAGTTTTATGTAACACAAGCGCCTTCAGAAATGAAGACCTCAAAGGGCTGGGCTCAGTGGCTCATACCTGTAATCCCAGCGCTTTGTGAGGCCGACACAGATAATCACGAGGTTAGGAGTTCCAGACCAGCGTGGCCAACATAGTGAAATAGTGAAACCCCATCTCTACTAAAAACAAAAAAATTAGCCGGGTATGGTGTGGGCGCTTGTAGTCTCAGCTACTTGGAAGGCTGAGGCAGGAGAATTGCTTGAATCCAGGAGGCGGAGGTTGCAGTGAGCCAAGATGGCACCACTGCACTCCAGCCTGGGTGTCACAAGGAGACTCTGTCTCAAAAAAAAAAAGAAAAAGAAAAAGAAAAAAGTAAAGAAATGACTTCAAAGGGCCAATCGCCGTGGCTCATGCCTGTAATCTCAACACTTTGGGAGGCAGAGGCAAGGCGGATCACCTGAGGTCAGGGGTTTAAGACCAGCCTGGACAGCAGGGGGAAACCGCGTCCCTACTAAAAATACAAGAAATACAAGAAATTATCCACGTGTGGTGGTGCAAGCCTGTAGTCCCATCTGCTTGGGAGGCTGAGGCACAAGAATCACTTGAACCTGGGAGGCGGAGGTTGCAGTAAGCCGAGATCACACCACTGCACTCCAGCCTGGGCTATGGAGAGAGATCCTGCCTCAAAAAAACAAAAACAAAAAAACCCCTCAAGACCCAAGGACAATTGTCTGTTTTTATGCTTAGGTTCAATGCAGAATGGACAAGCCATGTAGAAATGTGACCAGACAAAAGGGGTATGATCTAATGTAACAGACTGACTGGGGAACCCAACAAGGCTTGTCTGTTCAGATTCTTCTTGGCCTACCAGTGTAACATTCCTTCCTCCAGGGTATTCCTTCCTGGTTCCTCCCGAATGAGGGTCTTTAAGGCAGAAGAGAGAGGGGGAGAGTGACCTTTCTGGTTTTATGGCTCGCTTTGGGGGAAAGGGGTTCTGGTTTCTATGACCCGCCTTTGGGAAGAGAAATTTTTATTTCTATGACTCGCTTCAGGGGAGAAAGGGGCGGGAGACAGGAGGGCAGGAGAAGGTCAGAGAAAGACTTTGCTTCTGAGGCCTTCCCCTCTCCTTTAGTTCAAAGCACTCAGTATGCCAAAGCTCCATACTTTAGAATATTGTTTTCTTTCTTTCTTTTTTAAAGAGACGGGGTCTCGCTCTGTCTTCCAGGCTGGAGTGTAGTGGCATAATCATAGCTCACTGCAGTCTCCTGAGCAGCTGGGACTATAGCCACCACGCCCTGGGATATCATTTTCTGAACCCCAGAAAATGATAGATATTGCCAGACAGTTTTCCAAAGTCAGCTGGGCACGGTAGCTCACGCCTGTAATTCCAGCGCTTTGGGAAGCCAAGGTAGGGAGATAAGCACTTGAGGTCAGGAATTAGAGACCAGCCTGGCCAATATGGTGAAACCCCGTTTATACTAAAAATACAAAAATTAGTCAGGTGCGGTGGCTCACACCTGTAACTCCAGCTACTCAGGAGGCTGAGGTAGGAGAATTGCTTGAACCTGGAGGCGGAGGTTGCAGTGAGCCAAGATCATGCCACTGCACTCACACCTGGGCGACATAGACTGTCTCAAAAAACAAGAACAAAGTGATTTGTACCAGTTTGCAGTTGCAGGCTGAGGGTTTTCATATTTTAGTCAACAGGTACAATGGTGTTTCCTGTGTCTAGTTACATGCTCTTATTTCCATGTATTTTCAGAGTTTTCACACTTGTCATTTTATTTTTTTCACATTTTATTTTATTTTATTTTATTTATTTATTTATTTTTTTTGAGACGGAGTTTCGCTCTTGTTACCCAGGCTGGAGTGCGATGGCGCGATCTCGGCTCACCTGCAACCTCCGCCTCCTGGGTTCAGGCAATTCTCCTGCCTCAGCCTCCTGAGTAGCTGGGATTACAGGCACGTGCCACCATGCCCAGCTAATTTTTTGTATTTTTAGTAGAGACGGGGTTTCACCATGTTGACCAGGATGGTCTCGATCTCTCGACCTCGTGATCCACCCGCCTCGGCTTCCCAAAGTGCTGGGATTACAAGCTTGAGCCACCGCGCCCGGCCTATTTTATTTTTTTTTGAGGCGGAGTTTCGCTCTTGTTACCCAGGCTGGAGTGCAATGGCGCGATCTCGGCTCACCGCAACCTCCGCCTCCCGGGTTCAGGCAATTCTCCTGCCTCAGCCTCCTGAGTAGCTGGGATTACAGGCACGAGCCACCATGCCCAGCTAATTTTTTGTATTTTTAGTAGAGACGGGGTTTCACGCTGTTGACCAGGATGGTCTCGATCTCTTGACCTCATGATCCACCCACCTGGGCCTCCCAAAGTGCTGGGATTACAGACTTGAGCCACCGCGCCCGGTCCACATTTTATTTTTTTGATAGAGGGTCTCACTGTCACTCACGCTGGAGTGCAGTGGTGCGATCTCAGCTTACTACAGCCTTGACCTCCCGGGCTCAAGTGATCCTCCACCTCATGCTCCCAAGTAGCTAGGATCACACGTGCGTGTCACCACACCCAGCTAATTTTTGTACTTTTTGTCGAGATGGGGGTTTTGCCGTATTGCCCAGGCTGGTCTGGAACCTCTGGGCTCAAGCAATCCGCCTGTCTAGTCCTCCCAAAGTGCTGGAATTACAGGCGTGAACAACCGTGCCCACCCCACGCTTGTCATTTTAAATACATCCCTAGAGAGGCATTTTAAATACATCCGTAGAGGCAATGTGATAAGGGGTGGGGACAGACTGCAGCAATCTCTGGGAGAAGTACTTAAATGCTCTGAGGCCAAGCAGGTCATGAAATGATTTAAGCAGTTGAGTGGGGACATTGCCTACCCGGACAAGGTGACTCGGAGGAGCTGCCATGTGAAAAGAGAAGCTCAAAGTAAGTATGTTTTGACTCTTTAGGGAGGCCAGAAATCTGGATTTTAATATTTTGGCAATTAATCCATATTTTTGGAAAACACCATACTGACCAGACAAAACTGGTCAGTGCATCAGATGCCTAGCCTTCAAGTTTTCCACTCTGGGGCTACCTCTTAAGGTTTGGCTTTGGGTGGGGGAGTTTGACCTGCAGCAAGTAACCTCACTTGTTAGTGCTTGATTTTTCCTCTGGTCAAAACGACTAAATTAAAGACTATCCTTCCGCATTCTGATGCTCGTTTGAGATAATTCTAGAGTTTGCCCATCTCTTTACTAAGCCTTCCCTTACTACCCAAGGTCCCACTCTACTAAAGTATTTGAAGAATTTTCGGTTTCCTACTGGACATTTTAAAACTGGTGGTTCCTATGCATGCAAAATTTTCCCAAGTTCTCTAAATGGGATCCTTCTGGGATGCAAAGAGTTAAGAGGAAATAGCCAATTAGGGTCTAGCTAATCTGAGAAGTTCAGGACCTCAAAAGTATCTAGAGCGCTTCTAAGAGGCCTGACTCAAAGACGCTAGGGTGGCTTATCCACCCAGCGCCCGCGAAATCCTCGAGGAACTGCAGAGCAAAACCTACATGGAGACATCAGCATCCCGTGCTACACTGGACCAAGGCCTCGGCGGAGCGCGCAGAAGACAACTCTGGGCCCGTTGAACAAACCCAGGACACCCAGGTAAGACGAGACCCCACGACGCCGTTAGCGGCCCGCTTTAACTGAGGCGCGGCTGGCGGGGGACTCCCGCCCGAGAATCAGCCTGGAGGAATGAACTGCCCCGAGCGAAGTCTGAGCCCCCCCGGGTTCCAGACTCCACGCGGGTGACTCCCACGCGCGCCGCGCCTCCGCCACGTCCGGGACTATCCGGGAGCGCGCGCGAACTCGTCCGCGGAAAGTTGGCGCTAGCGCCGCTTCCCGCGCGTTCCGGGGCGCCCCCTCCCACCCGAGCGCCACGTGCCGCGCGCCCCCCGCTCCCTGGCCGCGGTGGGACGCCCCTGCCCCCACCGCAGCGCGCAGTGCGCAGGCGCCTTCCCGCGGGTCCCGGCGGCGGGAGCGGGAGGAGGCGGCGGCGGCGGGAGCGGCTTCTGCCTCGGCTGGAGACTGAGGCGAAGGCGGCAGCGGCGGAGGAGGTGGAGGAGAGGCGAGGGTGAAGGCGAAGGCGATGGCGACGCAGAGCACATGAGGCGGCGGCCGGCGGGACGGGCCGAGGCCCGGCGGAGGAGGCGGCTCCGGGGGAACCCGCCGCCGGGTGAGGGGCGGCCGCAGGGCCGGCTGAGGAGATGCGGGCCAGGGGCGGGGTCCCAGGGGGAGGCGGGAGAACTCGTGGGGAGCCCGGAGAGGGGCCGAGAATCCCCGGGGGTCCGGGGAGGAGCGCGGCCGGAGCGGGGGGGTGCAGGTGGGCGCCGCCGAGGGGTTCCCGCCGAGTCTGGAGGGGCGTCGCCGGCCCGCGTCCTGCCGCTGCCCCCGGCGCACCCTCCCTCTTTGTCCCCGGGCGCGCGGCTCCCAAATCGAGAGGGAAACAGCTCGGGGGCGGCTCGGGCCGCGGCGGTGTCGGGGGACGGTCGGGGAGCCCGGGCAGAGGCGGCGCGCACTCGGCGTCGCCCCCGCGGTGCTGACCACTACCCGGGCGGTTAGGGGCGCAGGGCGGAGCCGGGCCGCCCGTAGCCGCCCGGCAGCTTCGCGGGCTGCTCTTTGTCTCCCCGACCTCGGCCCCCGCGTCTCCGGCGGCGTGCGGGCTGGTATGAGGCTTTCCGCATCTCCCCGCCAGAACTCCTGCCTCCCGGGGTTAGAGGAGGGTTCGTTCGAGGGCTGGAAGCGGGAAAGCGGGGCGGAAGCACTGGGCTCGTCGCCTCTTGATTAAATCGTTGTGTTTACTTCAAATGACTTTTCCCCCACTTTGTCAAACTTTGGAGAACTGTTGTGTGTGTGTGTGTGTGTGTGTGTGTGTGTGTATGTTTTTCTTAAGTCTCTAGCTTCAAAATTAAGAGTAGGCGCTACCACTGTGATTGTGATTGTCGGCAGTTGTGTGGTTGGCGGCTGCGTTTGGAGCTCTGAGTTGAAAAGATTTAGGTGAATGTATGGTTTAGATTTGTTTTTTCTTTTTTTGCGATTATGTGATTGTGAGTACCTTTCCTTTGCGAAATGGGCGAGTTTGGTTTTCTTGTTGTTCATTGAGAACTGGCAGTGGTACCGATTTCATTGCGCTCCTGCCTGATTTTGTTAGCATCAAGACGATGTGAAATCGAGTAAGTTAAGTTTGAGTAAGTTCTGGCTGAGGGTCATCTTGTATGCCTGATAAGTCTAAATTTGTTACATGTTTGTGTCGTGTACACGTTCAAGTGAATATATATGAAAACGGTATAAAAATACGTAAATGAAAGAGATTTTAATTTCCTGATGAGCAGGAAACAGCGTATCTCTAGTACGTTAGTATCCGTAGAAAAATGCGTTAATGTAATTTGGAACAAAATCTCTCTCTCCCTAGGGAGGGTTTAGGTATTCAGAGTAAGAGTGCAAACACATTTCAATCTCAGAGGATATTGAAAAAACAAAAATACCCTTACTTCCAGAGCTCCTGACTAAAAATATTGTGAGTTGTGAGTTAAGTTTACTGATTTTTTTTTTTAACGTAGCATAGAGTTGTATTATTGCACTTGCTTTGGATGTCTTTTAAGTACTGTGTAATGGCAGAATTAAAGAAACACTAACTCTTCTGGGTAGAAGGTAAAAAGCTCCGATAAAACAGATCTTTTTTTTTTTTTTTTTTTTTTTTGAGACGGAGTTCCGCTCTTGTTACCCAGGCTGGAGTGCAATGGCGCGATCTCGGCTCACTGCAACCTCCGCCTCCTGGGTTCAGGCAATTCTCCTGCCTCAGCCTCCTGAGTAGCTGGGATTACAGGCACGCACCACCATGCCCAGCTAATTTTTTGTATTTTTTTTTTTTTTTTTTTTTTAGTAGAGACGGGATTTCACCATGTTGACCAGGATGGTCTTGATCTCTTGACCTCGTGATCCACCCGCCTCGGCCTCCCAAAGTGCTGGGATTACAGGCTTGAGCCACCGCGCCTGGACAGTTAAGTTTTATTCTTATGTTTGCATAAGTCAGCCAAAGGGAAGGAATGCAGGGTTCCGTTTTCTGATTAGTCCCCTTCCTCCCAGGTCCAGGCTTACCTATCAATTCAGTAACTAGGATCTTAGAATATAGGCTATGTAAGTTAAATCCAGAGCATCATCATCTTAAGAAATGCATAGTGTTTGTTTCATGCTTAATTCAGTGCAAAGTGATGACTTCCAAAAAACTATTGCTTTATTTGCAGTTTGTTCACATTTCGAAATTGGTGAGGTTTGTTCTTTTTCTTTTTCTTTTTAAAGATGGGGTTTCACCATGATGGCTAGGCTGGTTTTGAATTCCTGACCTCAGGTGATCCATCCACCTCTGCCTCCCAGAGTGCTAGGATTACAGGCATGAGCCACCATGCCTGGCCTCTTTTTTCTTTTTCTTTCTTTCCTTCCTTCCTTTTCTTTCTCTTTCTTTCTTTCCTTCTTTCCTTCCTTTTCTTTCTTTGTCTCTCTTTCTTTCCTTCCTTCCTTCCTTCCTTTTCTTTCTTTCTCTTTTTTTCTTTCCCTTCCTTCCTTCCTTCCTTTCCCCCTCTCTCTCTCTCTTTTCTTTTTTTTTTTTAAGAGACAAGACCTCGCTCTGTTGCCCAGGCTGTCATAGTTCACTGCAGTCTGAAACTCCTGGGCTCAAGCAGTCCTCCTGCCTCAGCCTCTCGAGTAGCTGGGACTGTAGACAGGTGCCACCATGCCCAGCTAATTTCTTTTCCTTCCCTCCCTCCCTTACCAATCAGGATAGTTAAGTTTGACTAGCGGGTATGCTTACTTATTTCTATGCTTTTCTTCTAGCATAGAAACACATGCGGCTCCTGTTCAAAATATGTGATAAAAATTTAGGCAAAGAAAAGTAAAAGTAGGGTTATTATTATTTTGAGATGGAGTTTAGCTCTTGTTGCCCAGGCCGGAGTGCAGTGGCGCCGTCTTGGCTTACTGCAACCTCTGCCTCCCGGGTTCAAGCAATTCTCATGCCTCAGCCTGAGGCATCCTGAGTAGCTCGGATTACAGGCATGTACCACCATGCCCAGCTAATTTTGTATTTTTAATAGAGGTGGGGTTTCACCATGTTGGTCAGGCTGGTCTCAAACTCTTGACTTTAGGTGATCCGCCCACCTCTTCCTCCCAAAGTGCTGGGATTACAGGTGTAAACCTGCGCTCAGCTGATTTATTCTTTTTGTAAGACCATTTCTTTGAGAATAGATAGGAGAACATGGATTTTGGCTGATATCATTAACCTGAAAAAAAAAAAAAAAAAAACGCACATATAGAAAACAGTTCTGAGGCTGAGCTCGGTGGCTCACACCTGTAATCCCAGCACTTTGGGAGGCTGAGGTGGGCGGATCATGAGCTCAGGAGTTCAAGTTTCCAACATGGTGAAACCCCATCTCTACCAAAAATACAAAAATTAGCAGGGCGTGGTGGCACATGTTTGTAATCCCAGCTACTCAGGAGGCCGAGGCAGGAGAATCACTTGAACCTGGGAGGCAGAGGTTGCAGTGAGCTGAGATCTCGCCATTGCACTCCAGCCTGGGAGACAGAATGAGACTCCATCTAAAAAGACAAAAAAACAGTACACAGTTCTGAGCTGTTAATACCAACTGAGTGGCCACAATTGTTTTTCAAACATCCTACTACAGCTGATCAGTTCAGCTTGTGTTGAAATAAGGACCTATTAAAATGTATTTTTAAAAATCTTATTCTCTTATGTCTGAGCATTGCTATTTTCTACATCTCAAAAGAATGAATGGCCTGTTAGTCAATACTGACTGGCATACTTGAATTTTGCAAGTACTGTAGTTGGCTGACAGCACTCCTTGGCAATAAAAGTTAGTCTTTCAGACCTGTGGAATGTGTTGCCCAAAGGGTTTCCCTAAAACAAGAATAAGATGATCTCATTGCAGATAGCACTTTACTTCTACAGGAATGGGGCCAGAAGTGGTGGCTCAAGCCTATAATCCCAGTACTTTGGGAGGCGGAGGCGGGCGAATCACCTGAGGTCAGGAGTTCAAGACCAGCCTGGCCAACATGGTGAAATCCTGTCTCTACTAAAAATACAAAAAATTAGCTAGGCGTGGTGGCACATGCCTGTAATCCCAGCTACTCAGGAGGCTGAGGCAGGAGAATGACTTGAAGCTGGGATGTGGAAGTTGCAGTGAGACTCCATCTAAAGAAAAAAAAAATGAAGTATTCTGGGAAATGAATTCTTCTCCAGCTCTCAGTTGAAGCACTGTTTTTGAGGCTATGTTGCTTGTAACACCAGCACAATTTGGACAGAAGCATTCTGGTGCCCATTAAGTCATTCAACTTTTTTTTTTTTTTTTTTTTTTAAGATGGAATCTTACTCTGTCATCCAGTCTGAAGTGCAGTGGCTTGATCTTGGCTCAGTGCAACCTCCGCCTCCCAGGTTCAAGCCATTCTCCTGCATCAGACTCCTGAGAAGCTGGAATTACAGGCATGCACCACTAAACCTGGCTACTTTTTGTATTTTTAGTAGAGAAGGGGTTTCACCATGTTGGCTAGACTGGTCTCGAACTCCTGATCTCAGGTGATCCTCTCATCTCGGCCTCAAAAAAGTGCTGGGGATTATAGGCGTGAGCCACCGTGCCCAGCCTTTTTTTTTTTCTTTTTCTTTTTTTTTTTTGAGACAAAGTTTTGCTCTTGTTGCCCACGCTGAAGTGCAATGGCACCATCTCAGCTCACCAGTGGCAAACTCTGCCCCTCGGGTTCAACTGGTTCTCCTGCCTCAGCCTCCTGAGTAGCTGGGATTACAGGTATGTACTACTTCACCTGGCTAATTTTGTGTTTTTAGTAGGGACAGGGTTTCTCCATGTTGGTCAGGCTGGTCTCAAACTCCCAACCTCAGATGATCTGCTTGCCCTGGCCTCCCAAAGTGCTGGGATTATAGGCGTGAGCCATTGCACCTGGTCTTTTTTTTTTTTTTTTTTAATTGAGACAGGGTTACCGGGTGCAGTGGCTCACACCTGTAATCCCAGCACTTTGGGAGGCCGAGGTGGGTGGATCACGAGGTCAAGAGATAGAGACCGGCCGGGCGCAGTGGCTCAAGCCTGTAATCCCAGCACTTTGAGGCTGAGGCGGGTGGATCACAAGGTCAAGAGATCAAGACCATCCTGGTCAACA